TGCAGATCCAAATGCAGGTTTATTACGCATAGGTGGTCAGGCAAGCAACAGTCAACACAGGGGCAAACAGATGTATGCAGAGAATCCAGAGAGGGATCTGGCTGCAGACCTGGTGCAGTGCAATCTGGGCTGCATCCAATGCTTTTTAATGGGCCCACCTAACCCTATCCCTAACCCTACTCGTCACAGTGACGTCACTAGCTCCATTTGAGTGCATTGTGTCTGACATTGCATCGCTGAGTGATGCAGTCTCAGCTTGCATCATGAAGGCTGCATCCAGATACTATTGGGAATCCATAGTCATGGTCAAATAGCAGGCAAATGGTCAGTCCCTGCAGCAAACAACGAAAAAAATTAACAAACAAAGAAAGGCAAAATAAGAGAAACGCGTCATAATGTTCACAGTATCAGTATAACAACACTTAGCAATTGGTGCGTGCATCTGTGCTGCTTTTAAAGTCCATGTAATCAGTTCATATCGATCCTCCGACTGTGTGTGTGTGTGTGTGTGTGTGCAATCAGCGGAATCTGGAACAGGTGCATGTGAGCGGATTTTATCTATTTTATTTATTGAACGGATTTGATCGTATAAAATCTGGCAAAAGTCTTTAAAATAGCAGTGTTTTTCTGTAAACATTTTAATTATTTATTATTTATTATGATTTATTATTTTTGCACTTTATTTCAACAAAGAAATTTTACCATAATTTTATGGTTTTTGTTTGGCAGCCATAGCTGCCAGTCAATTTTAAGATTTTAAAATTTTTTTTACAGAGCAGGTAATAACAATTTATTACTTTTTTTACGTAACAATTTATTACTTTTTTACGATTTTACGTAATTTTAAATGTACTTTTAAAAAAAAATGGAAAAAACACTGTGTAAATAATACACCAATTTTATTGTATAAAACAGGAAAATTGCTGTAATTTGTCATTAATTATATAGTACATAAAATAATAGTCAAGCTGTTAATTTACAGATATTGTTTGTAATTTTTAGTGCACTATTCTTATATTCTATTGAATATAATTTAAAATAACAGAAAAAATACTGTATAAATAATACTGTAATTTCCCTGTATAAAAAAACAAAAATGTCAGTAATTTGTCTTTAATGATGAAGTACCTAAAATGAAAGTCCAACTGTTAATTTAGAGAAGTTGTTTGTCATTTTACAAAATTTTGAATATAATTTGAAATGACAAAAAATTACTGTAAAAAATTTTGCAATATTTTCTGTAAAATGTATTTTATTTTTATTTTTTTTACAGTGCACTAAAACGATATAATTTTACACATTGATGATGTAAGCGTGTCCAGGCCCAAATGTAATGTGAGTGCGGGCCGTCGGGGGAGGTGGGAGGGTGGACAAGCGTGCTTTGGCCCGGTTCAAGGCAACTGTACATACTGTGAGTACGCCCATAGTCAGCATGGCGCAGGCCCGGATTGGCTAATCGGGAGGACCGGGAGAATTCCTGGTGGGCCGGTCCGTTTTTTGGCCGAGAGGGCCGGTGTCCCTAGCTCCAGAATCTGTTGCTCTCAGCAGTCACACTTTTTAAATTTATTCATTTATTTACTTGACCACAGCCTTTTTATTCATTATTTTACAGCAATTCTTCTCTTTTTATTTATTTTCTCGCATCCTTGTGAGCAAGAATCAACCTGCAGGTTAATGATGATATAACTCAGATGAGTCTCTAGTCAATGTATAGTTGTGGTCCAGCGGTTAGCATGTTATGTTATGATACTGCTGACCCGGGTTCGATCCTCGTTAGAGTACTAATTTTTTTTTTCATTTAGGGTTGTTGAACATTTGAAGTTCTAAAGCAGCTGTTTTCTCAAAAAAAAAGACATGATGGTGTCATTAGAAACTGATTTGGAAATGACCTTATTTTAATATTGTCAGTCGTGAACTGAGGTGGGCCGGTCTGAGGCTTGAAACTCCAGGGCTGAAAAGGAGTCCCACTCCGGCCCTGGCATGGCGTGAGGGATGCCATCAGAAAAGTCATTTCAGGGTAAGAACAAACAGTAAACAGAAAACAAATGAAAGCTTTTTTCCCTTTTGAATAAAGAAAGACCGAACAGCACATTTGAAACTGGAATAAAATGGAGGATGCATACCAGAATGGAGCCAAATTAAATGTGATTCTGCTAAATCAAAAGCTTGTTAGCAATCGGTTAATAGTCTGCACAGCCTAAACAATGTCAACAGAAGAAGAAAGCCATTTCAGACTAATAGAAAATTGTTAATAGATTACAAATAAAAGCGTTTTTCATTATTCTATGCAACTTATTTCCAGTAATCAATAATGCACGGCATTCATTTTATCAGCAAGTAAATGTTGATGCTGTGTTTTTATGCTGACTTCTTCCCATGTGGTTCCCATGTTGCAACAGTTACAGAAAAATATCCAGTGGAAAGCTGTAAACAGCACAGGTCTCTCACACAGGCTTTTTCATCAGCAAGGATTCGATAATTCCCTGGGATACTCTGTCCAGGTTACCATGGCAATCCAGAATATCTGCTTTTAAAACTGCACATGTCCGGGGTTTTTTCTTTGCTATTCTGGAATGCATTCATTGAAAATAAATCCTATTATTTCCACTGTGCTGCTCTGCCCATCTGCACTGTGGAGGCACCATGCTACCATGAATACAGCTACTGAATCATTATTAAGAGTAACGTTAAACATGCATCATACATTGTTATTAAATCAAATCCTCAAATACAGCATTTAAAATGCGTAAGTATATTAAAGACATTGCCATACTGTATAGTGGAGGCTGGTTATTGAAGTTATAGAAAGATACTTTATTTTAGCAGAAACGTGAGGTAATCCAACATTCATTTTCCTTAAGTGTGCTTAGTCCCTTTATTCAATTGGGGTTGCCACAGTGGAATGAACCACCAACTACTCCAGCATATGTTTTATGCAGCACATGCCCTTCCAGCTGCAACCCAGTACTGAGAAACACCCATACACATTTATTCACACAGCATTCACACGTTCAAAGTCACTTAAATCCCCTTTCTTCCCCATTCTGATGCTCGCTTTAAACTGCAGCAGATTGTCTTGACCATGGCTGCGTCCGAAACCACATACTTCCATACTATAAAGTGCACTAAAATCCGTATGTGAGCCGGTAGTTTGTACGAATTCATACAATTCGAAAATCAGCTTGCGAAAAGTACCCAGATGACTTACATTACATTCACACTGCTCATATTCATACTGTATAGAAGTACTTTTCTAATGGCCGAGTAATACGTTTAAATTCAAATACAGTACCTACTGAGTAGTAGGCGGTTTCGTCCCATGTCTACATGCCTGAATGCTTTAAAGGGTCATGAAACACCAAAACACATTTTTTGAGCTGTTGACAGTCGTATATGTGTCCCACACTGCTAAACACACTATTAGGACACATATATCTCACTAAAAAGTGTAAATTGGTTGTTTTTACGTTATTTCGAGCAAATTCGTACTTCCGGTTTGAAACGAATTTTTGAAGCTGCGTCACGGCCATGAGATCTTAGCGTGTATTCCAGCATGTAGAGTGGACATCTGTGCCTGAGAGTGCCTTATTACGTCTCCGAGTGTGCTGCATTAATGCATGAGTAAGGCTTGGTTCAAACCAATCAGCGCGCTCTATTGCGCAACTTCATTAATATTCATAACTGTCACAGTGCTTAGACGACAGAGACGCCACATTGTGTTGGCAAAACAAGCGTGAAGTGTTGCTTTATAGTTTGCTGCAGTTAAGTTTTGTTTTCATTTTCTCTCTGTGAGAGCTCAGAGTCACGTGTGGATTAACAGTGTACGCGACGCTCGACAACAATAACTTACGTGTCTAAGGAGGAACATTGTTTACCTGAGAGCTGTTCTCATCTGCAAACGCTGAGATCCGGATTCGCTTGTAGTCTTCTCTTAATAAAGACGCGGTTCTAGTTGCTGGTGATTGTCCTGTCTACAGATTTGGTAAGTGAGCGACCAGTGCTCTTTGTTTATTCAGTTTGTTCGTATCGAACTAAGTTAACTATTGCACCGAGTGTAAACATGTTAGCACCACAACCAAACTCTAACCTTGTGTAGGATTTTCACAGCATTTTGTGACCGGAATAACACACGCGGCTTTCTGACGCTACCTGCCGTGTGCATGTAAGTTTCCGGGAAATGCTGAGTTTTTTTTCTCTCATTCGCCGTGCGGTATCAAACATTGCATGAAAAATACATGCTTACAGCAGTTCCTCGAATCAAATATCTTGTTTGTCGCGAGGGGCATGAATGAATTCCCTGAATGAAAGAGCCAAGCTGCAGTTAAAGTCCACCATTAAATAATTTGGCAAATAATTCGACTACAGATGTCCATGTAAACACAGTCCCTTTATCCCCTGTGTGTGTGTGTGTGTGTTTTGACCCTGAAACTCAGCACGTGCCCAAATAGACACTCCCACGCCATCCCTCTTTTTTTCCTACGACACTCCCCCTAAACAGAGCTGGACACGCCCACCTTTCTGACTTTTTCCAAAGTAGAGGTGTGAAAACACCCTGCTGAAACGAGGGGGTTCCATGGCCCTTTAAGCTGCTGCCATGTGATTGGCTGATAAGAAATTTGCGTTAATGAGCAGTTGGACAGGTGTACCTAATAAAGTGGCCGGTGAGTGTATATGTGGAGTCTGAAGTTAAAACTGACGTGTAATTGAGCATTATTAATAAACTTTTTTCCACTTCTGACACAAATTTTACTGCAGTGATTAAATGTTTGCTTGGTAACTTTCACTGATTCAACAAATAGCATGATTGTGGGCGGGAGCATCTGACCAATGGCTAACAAGGAGTGGGGTTGGTAATTCTGTTAGTTAGTGTAGTTGCAGTGAAATTACGCACATCGCTGTTTATAACAAATGTTTTTGTGGTTTTATTTCGAACGCATTGTCTCCCAACACTTTTATTATGCATCTAACTCATTTTCCACCTCTCTTTCTTCTTTCCGCAGTGGTCTGTAGCTTCCGTGGATCTGTGTCACATGGTCTGACACTAGAGCTCGGAGAAACGGTTCAGATCCTGGAAAAGTGCGAGGGTAAGTCATTCTCCTGAATTAGATCAATCTTTAGTGGATGTTTCTGGAAATATGAGTTATTTAATTGACTTTTGCATACGTGTGTTGACACAGCATGTGTTGAAGGAAAATCTTGTGAAAATTATAGGCTTTATTCTGTGATTATAGTCGAAAAATTTGTTTTTTACTAGGGATGCACCGATAATATTTTTTGGGAACCAATCCGATCTGGATACCGAAATTCTGAGTATCGACCGATACAGATCCAATCCTGATACTGTGCTATGTGTTGTTGCTTTTTTTTTTTTACAAAATAGTTTCTATAGTTCTGGTGATAAACTCAGATAATGTATCTTCTTTAGTCAAAACAACAGACCTATAGGCCTTCTGTAATAGTGTTGGGGGATATACAAAATTTTCAGATCGCCATATTGCCCCCCTTTGAGATCGCCGATACACGATACTATTGCATGGGGGCGTGGCAGTGTTTTATTTAATACTAACAATAATAATAATAATAATAATAATAATAATAATAATAATAATAATATTAATAATAATAAATATAATATATATATATAATTATTATTACTATATTTTTTATTGTTTTATTTTATTATTTTATATAGTAATTATTAATACTATATTTAACCATTTCTAAACATATTTATTAACCTTTCAGCTGATTTTTAAACTTATTTAATAACCTATTGCATTTGCATAACGTTTGATTTTGAATAATAATTCAAACAAATGCAAATCACTGCGCACTTACAGCTAAATGGGCTTTGAGACCGAAATTATATCAAACAAGACTCGATGCAACAGTGTGGCATGGGACAGGATTTGATGGTGACTTCAGGTTCATACCGTTATCCTTGGCCCGCAGGACTGCCGCAAAATTAATATAATATACATGGATGAATGCAAATGTAATGACATTTAGCTGAGCACGGAAGAAACAAGGATGCATTAAGGTTCTTTCAGACGGGAGGCGAATGGAGAAGTCACCGCCCGCACGTGACTGTTTCTATGCGGTGAAGTTTTCCATGTTTTGTTCAGTTGAGCGCGGCGCAGCTTCAGGTCTAATCAATCACAAAAGTAACCATCAACAGTGTCACATTTGTATTTGCTAAGATCTAACACAATGTTGCGCTTGGCATGTGTTTATTGTATTAATATTAAATAGCCTATTTGACCTGAAACTTTTTACTGAGCTCAGTAAAATGTTCTTTGATAAGTTATTAATAATCTGTTTAATTATTCTTTAATGCCAAAACGAATGGTTAAATACAGATTGTTTTTAATTGCATATAGACTAGTTTAAATAAATAAATAAAATATATTTTAGGCTATAAAAATAAATATGTACCTAACATATTTTTAAAAATTAAATAAATGGGTTATTTTCTGAAAAAAATTTGCATATCCGGGTTCATCATTCTATCGAATTAAACACAAATAAGACACATATTTTCTGTGTATTTGAAAGAGCAGTCAATGCATGCACTGAAAAAATAGTCTATAAGCCCCCTTAAAACTTAAATAGGCTAATAATAACGGATGTAAAAGACAAAAACCTTTTTTGTGGAAGCAAGACAGAAACTTGTGGCAGTGCTGTTAAAGAAGTCTCAAAAGATCAACGACCGCAACATGTTTTATTCCAGAACATTTGAGCTGGTTTCAGAATTCTTTCATTTTCTTTTTCAGTTGTTTCATTTTTACAAATGGTTTTATTGAACTTGTTTATTAATAAAATTCAGTTTTGTTATTTAGCCTATTATTTTTTGCAACAAAGTTGCAGACTAATTTGCTCTAAGATGTGGCTGTGCCCTCACATGCAGCCTGTGCTTCAACACCTGCTGCTGCTGAGACGGAGAGAGAGCGCAAGAGAGCAATCGAAATTAATTTTTGTCCAAAGGTGTCGGTCAGGTGATGTTGATGTAAACAGCTGAAGCTATCATATTATTTATAGTTAATTTATTATTAATGATTCATTCATTCATTCATATTCTTGTCGGCTTAGTCCATTTATTAATCCGGGGTCGCCACAGCGGAATGAACCGCCAACTTATCCAGTAAGTTTTTAGGCAGCGGATGCGCTTCCAGCCTGGGAAACACACACACACACACAATCGTACACTACAGAGCCTACCCAATTCACCTGTACCACATGTCTTTGGACTGTGGGGGAAACCGGAGCACCTGGAGGAAACCCACGCGAACGCAGGGAGAACATGCAAACTCCACACAGAAATGCCAACTAAGACGAGGATCGAACCAGCGACCTTCTTGCGGTGAGGCGAACATGCTACCCACTGCGCCACTGTGTCGCCTATTATTAATGATGATGATTAAAATTAATAAAACAAATCATTTTATTCAATAATGCAAATAAAACATGTAATAGGTCTACATTAGTGCAAAACGAGCTAAATATCGTCTTTAAAATCGTCACAGGTTTCAGCTCTCGGCGATATTTTTGCCTATCGCCGATACACGATACTATCGTATATCGGCACAATCCTATATTGTATATGACAGACGACACAATCTAACTAAATCTAGCTAAATATCGTCTTTAAAATCGTCACAGGTTTCAGCTCTCGGCGATATTTTTGCCTATCGCCGATACACGATACTATCGTCTATCGGCACAACCCTATATTGTATATGACAGACGACACAATCTAACTAAATCTAGCTAAATATCGTCTTTAAAATCATCATAGGTTTCAGCTCTCAGCGATATTTTTGACTATTGCCGATACACGATACTATCGTATATCGGCACAATCCTATATTGTATATGACAGACGACACAATCTAACTAAATCTAGCTAAATATCGTCTTTAAAATCATCATAGGTTTCAGCTCTCAGCGATATTTTTGCCTATCGCCGATACACGATACTATCGTATATCGGCACAATCCTATATTGTATATGACAGACGACACAATCTAACTAAATCTAGCTAAATATCGTCTTTAAAATCGGCACAGGTTTCAGCTCTCGGCGATATTTTTGCCTATCGCTGATACACGATACTATCGTCTATCGGCACAATCCTATATTGTATATGACAGACGACACAATCTAACTAAATCTAGCTAAATATCGTCTTTAAAATCATCATAGGTTTCAGCTCTCAGCGATATTTTTGCCTATCGCCGATACACGATACTATCGTATATCGGCACAATCCTATATTGTATATGACAGACGACACAATCTAACTAAATCTAGCTAAATATCGTCTTTAAAATCTAGCTAAATATCGTCTTTAAAATAGTCACAGGTTTCAGCTCTCAGCGATATTTTTGCCTATCGCCGATACACGATACTATCGGCACAACCCTATATTGTATATGACAGACGACACAATCTAATTAAAAACATGGTGCCTGCTGTAAACTAGGCTACATTATTTGAGCATTCATTATGACATTGATATAATATGTTGTGGTCTAGCTGATGTTTCTTTTTTATTATTAAGATTTTTCTTTGAACTCTGTACTAGTCTACCACTATAGACCCTCATCACTGGTTAAATAACCAGCCTTTCAGCAAAGCCTGATATTTTCCTGCAGGTTTGGCGCAGACTGATCCGACAGACAGCGCAACATGATTTAGAAACAGCAATGAACTCCTGCTTCAGGTCAAAATGAAGACATTTAATGCAAAACTAAATGCATTTCTCCACTGATTACTTATACTAACAGGAACAAATAGCCTTGAAGAAAGTTTTTTCGTGTTGGCATAAACGCAACACGCAGTAATGAGAAGTAAGCGCTGAAGTAAACAAGAGTTTAACTACGTGAATTTTCATCTGTGCTTCACATTAAACTGTAGAATGGTTTCAGAACATATGGGATATAGTAGCCTACAGGACAACTTTCTAGTGCCTTTTAATAGGCTTCCTACATGGCTTTTGTTGGCTTATAAATTACACCGAATATAGCGCTCACGCAAGATCAAGTTTGGATTGGTACCAGCTGGCCGATACCCATTCCAGCAAAAAATATATAGGGCCCAATCATACACCCGGCGCAATGTGGCGCAAGGCGCGGCGCAATACTTGTTTGCTAGTTTCAGCTTGGCGCAAGAGTGGTTTTGAGGCGTTGCGCCACGCTTTTTAAATAGCAAATGTATTTGCGCTCATTTGTGCGCCCATAGGCGTTCTGTTCTAAAAAGGAAGGCGTTCTGAGGCGCACTGCTGGCGCGTTACTATTTTGAGAAACTATAATAGATTTTTTATTAGACCAAAACTAACCCGGTCTAAACTCCAGCGCAGAGTTGCGCCTCGCTTACACACTGCTTAATAGCCTACACACAAGATGTAGAGCAAATATCTTTACATATGAAAAAATAAAAAAATTAAGGATAGGCCTATATATAGGATATAATAAGAATATATATATAGGATATACAAATAAAAGATTTAAAATATTACAAAACATATTATTTTCTAGCCTACATAAATATGAAAAATCACTGCTTTTATGTCTTCTTCATCTCGGGAGGCTTTTTCAGTTCATTCATAAAAATTTGCTTTCGTATAATGTTATTATTATTAGCAGTATTATTTATTATATCCATATTTATATTTATTTTATTAAAAACAAGCTTAGATTTGCCCACCTGCAGGTTTTACACCATATGTGGCACAGCATGTGTATTAGGATATAACTTCGTTATTATTGTTCATTTATTCGTTTGCTGGAAATTAGAACCGAATTTAAAAAAAGTTGTGAAACAAAAATTTGCGCTTAACAAACGAAATTCATTATTTATAGGCTAATTGATGTCTGTGCGAAAGTGAAAGTAGATCGATTATCTCTCATTCTTGCGCGGTAGATGCTCTGTTTAACTGTTAAAAAAACTGTTAACTGTTTGCTTGTGAAATGCTCCGTTTTTCCACTTCCACTTACTTTACATCCTGTAAATAGCAAATGCGCTTATGGCGTGATGCAGCTGGCTTTTAAAGGGAATGGGAGATGAGACTATAGGTAAGTCTGA